GTAACTGGGTTATTCATATACCCATATAATAACTATCTTATTGCACGGTGTCTGACGTAACAATCCCATGCAATAACCAAATGAAAAAAGCACGGGTTGTCACATAAGACCCGTACAATAATAATTATATACATCTTATTCGATTATATTAAATATTGCAAATTAACATACTGGTGTTTTGAACTATTTGAATATTTACTAATTGTATAATCAGATTGTTTAAAAGTTATTTTGATGCATAATTTTATTTGATATATAATTTATTGTGGTTTACAAAATGTGTTAAATTTATAGAAATTATGGTAGATTAGTTAGATTTAGTAATTATCCGCAATCGCTATCATGTGTCAAACATCCGGTTCCGGTTTCTAAAAATACCATGATTAAGTCTCATAACGATAAGAAATGAAATTATTTATATGTTTATTTGGAAAAGTGCAAAAATTCAGATAAATTTGGATTTTAGTTAGAATTAAGAAATTTAGTATTCAAGCCACGGCATATTATTAGGTAACGGCTTGAAATTTTTTATCGTTTCAACAGTAATTTAAAGATAAATTTATTGAATTCGTGAGATATAAACAGCAAATGAGCCAATTAGAATACCATTTTCATGTGATGTATATGTTGAAAACACAAAACTTCTCTATTCTGCCAAATTTTGGCTTCAAAAGAGGTTAATAAAGAATTTAATCAGAGCAATAGTACACAATAAGATACCAATAGGGTATTAGGTCACGTAAAGTTGATTCTTCGTTTTGCATTACCCTCGATCCATTTTTTCAATTTTTAAATTTTTTTTTGCCATTTAATTTTTGTCGCGGCTGATGCTGTAGCAATAGAAGTGAATAGAAATGCGTTACTCCGCTTCGTTATGGACAATAATGATACTAGTCAATTGAATTATAAGATACATTACAATGTATTATGCATAGTTTAACGCTTAATTGTTTTGGGCTAGTTTGCCATTTCACATAGTTTATCAATAAATTAATTACTAATTTGGACAAGGAAAAGATAAATAACTAAACCAAGTACCATAAGAATTTTTGGTGATACTGAAACAAGAATTTTTGGCTCTGGCCGTGGCATGAAAATCATGCTAATAATAATCCTCAAACCTATTACCCAAATACTAAGTTTAAATAGGGTATAAATAAAAATTCCACAAATAGGTGAGCTTATTTTGAATGCATTAAAAAAAGTAGGTGGATCAGGCAGATCGGTTGCTTCAATTGACTGCTCATTATTATCATTATTGTTTTTTCTAGCTCTAACTGACAAACTAATGTTTAAATACCAGAAACCTGACATGATTCTCCATACTAAATAAAATGAAGCCAGAATAACTAGCACACAATTATTCTGAAGAAGAATGACATCTTCACTATTTCCAAAACCGAATACATTCATAAGAATTAGTGTTATTAAAATAGGCATATCAATACTCATTCATGGCTATAGAAAAAACTAATGGAGATTTCAATTGTCTTCGAAAACGAAGAGTATAAAACTGAGAAAAACAAACTAATAGCTTAGCAATGGCTACCAAAAGTGAAATTATAAAAATAAAGATACTATTAAATCCTTGAACTGCTAGAGAAATTATAAAACCCAGAGGAATGATATTTAATCCACAGTCTATCAAGGCAAATATAAGTAGTTTTTGATTTGGTTGTTGAAGTTCATTATAGTGTTTTGTTACTTCATCAAAATTTTGTGCCTCTCTTATTGACTTGTTAGCAGCATACAGACGAAAAATGTTTATAAGTATCACAATACAATTACCCACAATGGATAGAATAGAAATTATCGAAGGATACTGGTGATTTTGATTAAAGCTATATATAAAGTGCTGAGTTGTTAACACCAGCATGGGTAGTGAGTGTAATAAGAAATCACCAAAAAGTTGAAGATAATTTACATTTTTAAGATCTTTGATAATTAAAATATGTCTACGTATGAACCAAATTCCAAAATCACAAAGCATTAGAGAAAAAATTAAATAGATAAGTATAAGGGGTGAAAGGCTAGCGAATACTATAAGACTATTTTGTTGTGCACTCAAAACATATCGTGCATGAATTATGACTGAAGCTTTAAGCACTTCCAATGCAGAAATAAAGATAAGCGTCCTCACACCAAATTTTCGCGCCCAATCATAAGAGATTTTATTGTCTTTAACATATTCGCACACATATATTTGAAGTTCAGGATGAATATTGAAGGTGGCATTTAAGGGACCACCAATTTCAACAGAATTATATGCGAATAATATGTCTATATCAATTTTAGTAAAGGGAAATTTTATTTTATTATTTGCAAAACAATTTGGTATCGATGCTCGACATATTGAGTCCGGGCTTTTATATCCTTCACGAATAATTAAATAGCTGGTACTTTGAAAATTATCATCACTGATAGCAGCAACAGGAGTAACGAGTGGAAATGACATATTCGTGTTATTAATAGTGGCAATGCCTATTATACCGCCGTAAGAATTAATACTGGTATGAATTAAATCAAAACTACCTTGATATGATCCATAACTAATTGCCAAGTAACTCAGATAATAAATAGTCATATTTATATCTGGAGAGTTCCTTAAGTTTTTATCATATTTAATAAATTCATCAAAAGAACTATCATTCTAAGCATCATAAGAAAGTAAACTCGTACGGTTCCAACGCGATAAATTTGCATCTTCCCAAGAAATAGTATTATCTATTAGAGTATAGTCTTCGAACGTCTGACATTTATCTTTTGTTGAACTAATCAATGGTAAAAGAAAAATATAGTCTGATATAAGAGTGTAAGTTGCTATGAAAAGTGTAACGTAATAAAAGTTGAGTTTAAATTTTTTCCAAAATTCTTTAAACTCCATGATATAATTATGATAATGAATTATGGAACTAAAAGCACTTATTTTCTGTAAATCTCATTTTTTTTTAAATTCACAATCCAGAACACAATTTTTTCAATATGTGGTACAAGCCATATATGATCTTTCAAAAGCTTCTACGTAGATTTTTCTCCTAGTTTTAAATGGTTTCCTATTTTCGGATAAATTTGCATAAAATAACTACTTTACTTATGATCTTAAATTTACTGTATTATTTAACTAACACTGTTGGAATTGGCAAACCTACCTTAGCGAATGCTTTAGAAAATGATTTCTGAACAAAAGATAAAAAGCTCTTTTAGAAGAAATTACTTTAGTTATTAAAGAAAAATAGATATTATTGTCAAGCTAAAAATTAAAATTCGACAGATCTTTATTTTTTTTTGAACTCAAGATAGAAATATCAGGGTGATTCAAATTTGATGATTCGATATCTGATTTCGAATAAAATTAGTGGTGTATTTGTTTCGAATAAGTAATCTATTAATTTTTTTTTTTATATCACTAGCAAAATATATATATTTCATTTTCTGATTTCGGAATTTAAAATGAAATAGGATTTTTTAAACCCCCACTTATTTTGGAATAAGATAATTTTGAATCACCTATTGATAGAAAATATATTTATGGACTGTGATATTATAATTTTTAGTTCATATAAAGTAGCCCTATAAGAAAAGTGGTCCGAGTTGTGGCTCGGATTGGTTTCACGAACGCACGAAATGGTACGGGTGTGTGACACGTAGAGGCTCGTTTTACGTGATGGCATGGACATTATCAGTCGATTAAGATGTCACACCCAATTTTTTATCATATGATTTTCATAAATTACACAAATCGACGAAATCACGATTTTAAAATTTTCACCCAAAGCCTTAGTCATAATACACAATATTCCTTAAACAAACAAGTTGCCAGGGCTTCAACGAATCGGACAGTATGAAGAATGTAAAAAACTAACGTTACCTGGTAATGTGCGGCCCCTTCAAAGATGGGCAATTATTTTACCTTCTTTTGCAAGATTCTTCTGGTTTTTCAAGATCTTGCTGTGAAAAATAGCTTGTTAGATGCGCACGAGCGAGAACTTTTTATAAAATACATCTTTGAAAGAAGGATATCTTATAAAAATTGTTGCAAAAATTAAGAAAAACCATTTTATATATAAAAATTGCAAAATTTCTAATTAGGTTTTTCTTTTCTTTTTTTTTTTTAGCACCAAAAATATAGCTACAAGAATACTATAGCCTATTCTGTATATTGGGTTTAGCTGTTATTAACTTAATTCTCTACATAGCAATTTTATTAATTTTAAAACTTTTATTAATTTACAACTTATATAATAGAATTAATTAAAGTAGTATTACTGCTCATATAAGTATTAATATTAATATTGTTAAATATCAATATTTATATAAATATTAATATCACTTTCACATAAATATTACTGTAAAGTATATTGAGAAACATGATGAAAAAGCATCAAAGAAATAGAGCACATTAAAAAACATCTAAAACAACAAATTAAAAAATATTCAAATAGATAATAAAAAATAATTAAAGAAATAGAACAAATAAAAAAATCTAATAAAAAGCAATGAAAAAAAGCATCAGATGAATAACATATAAGTACTAAACAGAAATAAAATAAAAAAAGTAAACAAACCAGATTTATGTAAACAATAAACATTAGAATATTAGCTTACTAATTGCAAATTGGCCTCTAGAAACAAACCATAAGTTATCTGTAGCTTGAGATTTTCTTGACATAAGGATTTCTACACATGTACAATATATAATATGTATAGTGTACCCAACCTCCAAATACTTAACAGTTTTTTAATGATTTTTGAAAGTTTAGAATATCAAGCTTTTTTAAAATATTAACTTTTTTTTTTTTGCTAGATAGTAGGCTAAATATTATGTTATTTTGATAAATATTGTGAATAAACATGCTTTTTATGAAAGTTTTTATTATTAGCAACTCTTAAATGTACTATAATACCAACTTTACTTTATAAGAAAAAATGTACCGTAATTGTATGGGTTGGCACAGAATGGCATAGATTTTGGTGACACTGATTTTTGGCTTGTATTAAACTGTTAATAACTCTAGATTTTCAACATGTAACTAGTCTAATTTGGCACAGGTTTTAGTACAGATATATGTTAATTCATGTATGTATTAATAAACTAAACATATATACTAAACCATAATTTTACATCAATAATGATCAATATATTACATATATGAAAATTAAAGTAATCATATTTGTATAAAATTCTGTAAAAAATTTTTTTCATTAGATACCTAGAACAATTTTATTTGTGAAGTTTTTAAATATTGTATTTTTTTTAAAAAAATATTTATTGATTCTTCGCTCTTGATACATATGTATAAATATATTATTTAATGAGTGCCATTTAGCATGATGTGACAAAATGTGCTACCATTTTGCCATAACAGTTGATCAAGATATTATGCAGATCATGGGGGTAAAATTTTTACTATGAAATTTGAATGATTGATATCTATATGTGAAAATCCTTTTTCATAGTCAATTGCAATGGTAATTTACTTTTGATTACTGTTTTAAGGGTTTCATAAAAGAAAATTGTACTTGCAAGGTATAGTGCAACAACTTAGAAAGTAAAATACTATATCATGAATAAGTTTAAGGGTAGGGTGTTCACAGATCAATTTTCATAGTAATCATGTGTAAATCATATAAAATCACATGATTGACTAATCAGAATTGTAAACACCCCAGATTTAACCAATTAGAACTAGCAATTCTTGTGTGATCTAACAAAATTTTAGATTTTTTTATCTATATATAAACATGAATATTTTTAAATAATACAAGGTATAAAATTTTACTGATATAAACTAGATACTTCAAAGTATTTACCAAATAATTTTGGTAAAATTTAGTTATGTTTCTAAAAAGTTTTATTATAAACAAATTTTTGTTGTCTATATAAAGTTTTGGTATACACATAGATTATATAAAAAAATGTTCTACAGATACCCTACTCTTAAAGTTTTAAAAAAATTTACTTAGAAACAATTTGCTTGATTTCTACTAGCACCCAATATTTTTATAGATTTTTTTAAATTTTTTTATTTAACTTATACCTAATTAATTAGATTATATAGTATTAAATATTAAATAAGAATTTTAAAAAAATGGTCTCACCTTTAACATTAAAAAAAAAAAAAAAAAAAGAATTTTAAAAAATATTTATATTAAAATAATTTATACTTTATTAACTTTATTTAATTTATTTCTATCTAATATATCTTTATTTTTAGTATATTTTTCTTTTTTGAAACTCAAAATACAAAATTCTCTATTATACTTTAGTTTATTTTATTTGTTTCAAATCAATTTAAATTATATAGTTAAATTATTTAAATTTATATATATATATAGAAAAATTTAAGATTTAGAAGTAGTAAAATTTTTTTTTAAAAATTTTAAAGTAAGATTTTGCTTATATCTTTATTTAATAATTTATATAAGTAATTATATAAAATATATACTACCTGCTAATAAGTTTAAAGTTTATTATTTATTAAGTTTTGTATTAAGTAGTAATAATAATTATTATAATTCTAATAAAAAAGATATATAAAGGCAAAATTGTTAAATAAATAAAAAAATTAACTAATGCTAAAATTTGAACCTATTTTGATATAAATTTAAAAAATTTTAAATATTTTTTTTTCTTTTTTTTAAAGTTAGAGTTAAAATTAATAATTAAAAGTAGGATTTTATTTTTTATTACACTTGCAATGTATTGCACCCTACTATATCTCAAAATTTTACTAGGGTAACCCCTGTTGTGTAACTAATGAAAAATGATCCTCTTGCGATTTTATCTAACTTCAACTCTAACCCAAACACTAACACTAACCCTAATTATTATAGGAGTGCATCCTAACTCTAATTATTATAGGGGTGCAATGTATTGCACCATGCAATAAATTATAAAATCCTTAAAAGTATATATATATTATAATCTTATTATATACTAACCAAAAACAATTTAAAAAAAATAATTTTCTAGCTTCAAAAATCTTATAATTTTATAGAAAACATTGCTTTTTTATATTTTTTATATATATATATAAATTTTAGCAAAGTTTATATTTTTTCTAAATTTAATATTAGCTATATAACATTATTTTTTTAAAGAAAATTTCTAAACCTACACTAGTGGTGTATAAATACAGGTATATATTAATTAATTGTCCATATAACATAAAAAAAAACTATATACTTAATATTAGAGTTAGAGTTAGAGAATATTTTATATTAAAATTTTGTATAGATTATTTTTTGTTAGAATCCCCAAAGTAGTTTTATAAGCAAAATTTTGAGTAATAACAATACAGTCAAACCTCTATATATGCATGCTTTATAAATGCACACCCTCTATAATTGCACCCTATGTCTCAGTCCTAACTAATAATGACACCTATAAAATTACTCTCTATAAATACACACTCTCTACAAATGCACACTTATGGTCGGTCCCAAGGGGGGTGCATATATGGAGAGTTGACTGTACCTTGTATGTACACAAATAGTAATTCTCTTTTTTAAAAAACTTTTTATTAGCATAAAAAGCATAATTTAATATAATTAGCAAGCATCTTTAGTAGTATAATGCTACAA